TAGCATCTGCTGGCAGAGAGCTGAAGCCTCAGGGCAAAGAAAAAGCACAGGCTGCTGCCTCCATGCCGAGAAGCTAGCACGGCCTCAACGGAAGCAACATGGGCTGCATACCCTGAACAGTCCCACTTTTTTTGCAGTCACTACTCCAGTTAAGCCAACACAATTTCCTCTGAGGTTCTGTGGAAACAGAGGTGGCATGCTCTGTGAAAAGCCAGCATCGAGCCTGTCTTGCACATGCACTGAGTCTGCCCAAGTGCCTGCCCCGTTCTCCCACGTCCCTCCTCCCCAGGCCTCCTCCAGGCGCTCCCTGGACAGCGCCTTGTCCTTCCAGCAGCGCCCCTCCACCATGTCCCTGCGGCCTGCCTCCATGCCCCCCTGCTGCTGGTGGGACACCCAGAACATGTAAATAGCTCCTGGCAAAGCTCTTGCAGGCCGTGCTGGGGACAGGAACAATCAGAGCCCAGGAATTCGTGGGCATGCGAGGAAGCCGAGAGCGTCGCCAGGGGCTGAGATTAGACACTTCGGGGCAGGTTGAGGGGAAAGGGGGAGGAGGAGGAAGAGGAGCTTCAGGGGTGTCCTCAGAGACAAGAAAATATCAAGACTGCGGCCCCTGTAACTGTAACCAAAGAAATGTAACCCTTGTGGTCTGCTGCTGGAAACATCTCAGCATGGAGACGCTTTGGACTCCCATATTGGAGTCCGAATGGAAAGAAAAAAGCAGGAAAAAGAAAAGCAAAGTAGAGGAAAAAGGAAAGAAAAGAAAGAGGAGACTTAGTGGAAAGAAAGAAAAGAGAAGAAAGGAAATGGAGAAAAAAAAAGAGAGAAAGAACAAGGAAGAAAAAAGAAAGGTGGAAAAGGATTTTTTTGTAAAAAAAAAAAAAGACATAAAGGAAAGAAAAAAAGGAAATAAAGCCAAGGGATATGAACCCCAAGGGAAGGCAAAGAAGCGCCAAGTATGTAAACAGGAGGAAAGCCATCAGGACACTGAAAGAGGAGAAAAGAACAGACAAACAGAAAGCAAAGTGACAAAGAGATAAAGAAGACAGAAGGAAAGAAACAAGGAGGCGAAAGCAAAAGGAAATAGTCGGTGAAAGAAAAGCAGGGAAAGGAAAAAAATAGAGAAAAGCAAGAAAAAAAAAGGAGCGAAATCGGGAAGAAAGAGACAACAAAAAAAGAAGCAAGAAACAGAAAAGACACAGGAGAAGAAGAAAAGTAAGGAAAGGGAATCCTGGAATGCAGAATCAAAAAAGAAGGTAAAAATGGACACATAAAGGAAAGAAATCACAGAGACAAAGTCAAGCAAAACTAACCCCAAGGGAAAGCAAAGCAAGCAAGCAAGCCAATAAGTACACAAGAGGAAAGCAATCAAGAAATAAGATACCAAGATAAAGGAAACGATAATGGAAATCGACCTGGACCGAAAAAACAAACAAACAAACAAACAAACAAAAAACAAAGGCAGAAGCAACCTAAACAACAACAAAAAGCAAAAGTAAAGAGACAGAAAAGAAAGAGGAATGGGAAAGTATGGAGAGAAAAACCTGGAAAGTAGATGAAAAGACGAAGAAAGTAAAAATGGAGACATAAAGGGAAGAAAACAAGGAGACAAAGGCAAGGGAAACCAAATGAAAGAGAAAGCAAAAAAGCAAGCAAACAAGCAAGCCAGTAAGTACACAAGAGGAAGCAATCAGGAAACAGACAAAGACAAAGGAAATGATAATGGAAATCAACATGGATGGAAAAAAAAATAAAAAAGGAAAGAAAAAGATGGCAAGCAGAGAGGAAAGTGAAAAAAGAGAGAGAAAATGAAGGAATAAAGGAAGGCAGGAGAAAAAAAAAACAGAGTGAAACATCTAGGAAAGAAAAACAGGAAAAGGAAAGGAAACAAAAAGAGAAAAACAAGAAAAAGGAGAAGACATAGGCGATCAAAGAAAAAATAAAGAGAAAAAGAAACAGGAATGGAGAAGTAAGGAAAGGGACATCTGGAAAGTGGAAGAAAAGACGAAGAAAGTAAAAATGGAGACATAAAGGGAAGAAAAAAGGAAACTAAGGCAAGACAAACCAACCGAAATTGAAAGCAAAGGAGCAAACAAGCAAACAAAAGGAAAGCAATCAGGAGATGGGACAGCAGTAAAAAGCAAATGTTGATGGAAATGAACCTGGATGGAAAAAAAGGTGGAAAGAAATGGCAAGTGAAAAGGAAAGTAAATACCAGAAAATTAAGGAAGGAAGACAGGAGGAAAGAAGAAAGTAAGCAAAAGCAAAGAGAAATATCTGAGAAAGAAAAGCAGGGAAAGAAAACAAAAATGAGAGAAAAGCAAGAAAAAGAGAAAATGAGGAATAAAGAAGCAACCAGAAGGGAAGGGAAAAAAAAAAAAAAAAAAAGGTAAAGAGGCAGGAAAGAAACAGGAATGGAAAAGTAAGGAAATGAAAACCTAGAAGGGATGGCAAGGAAGAAAAAAAAAATTCAACGAGGAAAAGAGAAAAGGGAAAAATAAAAGGAAGAAGAAATTGTCAAAGAAAGACAAATCCCCCTCACACATGCAGATCCCCCTCCCTGAGACTGTGGTGCCTCCAGTCGCAGAGGCGCAGGCCCAGCCTGTGGGTAGCACATGGTTGCAGAGAGCTTAACATCCAGGACAAAGAGAAAGAAGGATGAGGACACAAAAGAAACGGGGATGCAGAAGTAAGGAAAGGAAACCCAGAAAGGATGGAAAGGATAAAAAAAGAAAAACAAAAGGAAGAAGGAATTGAAAGAAAAGAGAAAAGGAAAAAGAAGAGGGCCATGGGCAAGCAAATTGTAAAAATAATGATTGTAAAAATAAAAATGCTAAAAATAAAGATGAGTAGTGCCTTTTCTTGGCAAATGTGATTCTGTGATTTTCCTTGGTATTTCCTGATCACTTCCCCAGGAAAGGATCATGCAAATACGTGTGAAGGAGTGCTGCCAGGTCTGCAAATCTCATGGACTTAAAGACAGGAAACCATTCAGCACTTTTTTTTCTCTTTTTCCCACTACAGGATTTTTCATCCCGATAGACCAGATCTCAGCTTTCACAATGTGGCCTTAACTACTTTTTCTTAGGAAATGAATTAATTTCCATCTTATTCTTGTGGTCCTAGGTTAGACCCCAGTTGAAGTCCTATGCAGAGAAGTCATATATCATCTAATGCAGAGAAACCATCCTTTCCTTTCTGCAGAGATGAAGGAGCACTCAAGAATGTGGCCATTTCTTTTAGTGCAAAGCAAAGCAAAGCTGCCCTGTGCCACGTGCTTTAGGTGTCCCTGCTTGGGCAGGAGGGTTGGACCAGATGATCTCTAGAGGTCTCTTCCAACCTCAACCATTCTGTGATTCCTAGAGGTGGGTGCTTCTTCAGTACTGAGCCATTTAAATGGTGATAAATCAGAAAGAACTGCAGAAACTAGGAGCCCTCCTTTTCCCTACCGGTAATTTTCCAGTTTTTAGAGCATCAAGTTCCTTCCTGAAAAAGGATTTGAACACGATGTGCAAGGAAATGTAATCTAAAAACGAGGGGACCAGATTATGTGCCCAAATCCAGAAGCTGCGTGGTTATGTCGAGATACAGCACCTGGGTTGTGCAGTCTATAACAGGATGACAACAACCAAGGAACCTGCTGAAGACCCCACTATTAGAAAACTAGTCCAGATCATGGTGAGCTCAAGACCTCTCATCAGGAAACTGAAGCCATAATCATCTTGAATCAAAAGGCATTTGTAGGTAATGCTTTTATTCCAGTCAAACTATTCTTTAATGATTTCAGAGTATGTCTTTCTATTTTTATCACTAGTGATCCACCAGCTCCTGACACCACTAAGACACCTGCCCTGTTGCAGGTGAGAGTTTCATTGTGGCTGTGCACACAGGTTCTGGATTGCAGAATGCTGAAGGTCTGGGGGACCTACCTTGCATGTTGAAATTGTAGTTCTGGCATCTGTGTGTTTTAAAATGACATCACTAGAAGTAATTTTAG